GATTCAAAGGATAACATAGATGGAAATTAAGACTCTCGAGTTCCCTTCAGAAGATGATAGTCTTATTATTTGCTCCATAAATTATCGTATCCTACAACCGTTCGACATATATTCCTTATTTACATGGGTTCAGCGACCGAGTTCCGTGGTCGATGTGATTTTTACAATGCGAGTTCGGGACTCAATTTCTCGCCGGCTGTTTCGTTCTTTTTGTACAAGATAGACGTCGAGCTACCTAATTTGGAGGAGAATTTAAATATTTTCTTTCATGCTGCGGAGATGGTGCTTCAAACTGAAGCGATCGCAGCCCTGATCGGGGAACACTGCCATAATGTGGGTCACGGCGACGGGTCTACGACGAAACGGCGCGGAGTTCTCGGCACTGAATCTGTGGAGGATTTCCCTGAAAGAGGCAACACCACAGTGTTCTGCACAATCAATTCGACGCTTCTCGTAGCAGTTCCACTATATCGAGTCGGTTTGGTTAGCAGGCCCTCAACGGCGCAGCCCATAATGGCGCCCAATGTTTCCGTGGCGCTGCCTCCCGGGCGTGGTTCGGCTCTAAACCTTAGTTTCGCTGCTCTTGGGGCCTGACTTTAGTTAGGCCGCTCCGCAGCCTAACTCAAGTCGTCCCCAACGCCCCCCCAACTAAGGTTTAGGCCGCCATGTCATTGCTCCGAATATGCTCGCTTGCGCTCGCCTATCGTAGCTTCCGGATGTGCTCGCCCGGGGAACTAACCTAACCCGACTTAATATCGTGATACTGCTTTGATCGGCGCCCAACTGGATAGGCTTCACACTATTGTCGCGCCCCTTCCAGAAAAATCCCTCATAGGCTCGGTGCCCGGAATCCCGCGCCGTTTTGGGCCGCGCCGTTTTGGGCCGCGCCGTTTTGGCCGCGCCGTTCTGGTCGCGCCGTTTTGTCGCACTCCGACATTTACCATGGTAACGAAGACGGCCGCGCGCCCGAGGCTCACTGGCCCAAGCTCGAGAACTTGAAAGAGCTCTACTTGGAGGGGGTTCCTCGAGTGAAATCCGCTCCGTTCCTCCGACGTTTGCTCACAAACTTCCCGAATCTAGACGTTCTGGATCTTGAAGGTACTCAGCTGAACGAAGACGATATCGTTGCAATCGCCCAGCTCTTGCCCAATCTCCGGGAACTCTACCTGGGTCACACTGGACTCAGAGACACGTCAATCATGCGGCTGGTGTCCAGCGGATGCCTCTTTGAGAGGCTGCAAATCGTCTGCTTGTGCGAAACCAACATATCGGACGTTGGCCTCGAAACCCTGGTCAGCGTGTGTCCATCGCTGCGTTCGGTCACCGTGAAGCGCTCGCTGGTGAGCAGCAAAACCGCAGAGGCTTTGCAGGCGCTCCACCCCGGTCTCCAAGTCGACCGGGTGGCCGCGGAGTGCGACGAAACGGCGCGGCCAAAACGGCGCGGCCCAAAACGGCGCGGGATTCCGGGCACCGAGCCTACGAGGGTTTTTTTTGGAAGGGGCGCGACAATAGTGCGAAGCCTATCCAGTTGGGCGCCGATCAAAGCAGTATCACGATATTAAGTCGGGTTAGGTTAGTTCCCCGGGCGAGCACATCCGGAAGCTACGATAGGCGAGCGCAAGCGAGCATATTCGGAGCAATGACATGGCGGCCTAAACCTTAGTTGGGGGGGCGTTGGGGACGACTTGAGTTAGGCTGCGGAGCGGCCTAACTAAAGTCAGGCCCCAAGAGCAGCGAAACTAAGGTTTAGAGCCGAACCACGCCCGGGAGGCAGCGCCACGGAAACATTGGGCGCCATTACGGGCTGCGCCGTTGAGGGCCTGCTAACCAAACCGACTCGATATAGTGGAACTGCTACGAGAAGCGTCGAATTGATTGTGCAGAACACTGTGGTGTTGCCTCTTTCAGGGAAATCCTCCACAGATTCAGTGCCGAGAACTCCGCGCCGTTTCGTCGTAGACCCGTCGCCGTGACCCACATTATGGCAGTGTTCCCCGATCAGGGCTGCGATCGCTTCAGTTTGAAGCACCATCTCCGCAGCATGAAAGAAAATATTTAAATTCTCCTCCAAATTAGGTAGCTCGACGTCTATCTTGTACAAAAAGAACGAAACAGCCGGCGAGAAATTGAGTCCCGAACTCGCATTGTAAAAATCACATCGACCACGGAACTCGGTCGCTGAACCCATGTAAATAAGGAATATATGTCGAACGGTTGTAGGATACGATAATTTATGGAGCAAATAATAAGACTATCATCTTCTGAAGGGAACTCGAGAGTCTTAATTTCCATCTATGTTATCCTTTGAATCTGGGGGAAATGCAGATCAAGGGGGAGGCACAGAGTCAGCGGAGAAATTAGCCCACTCACGCACCGTAGGGGCTGAGAGAGGGAGGGGGGCTGAAGTCAATCAAGAGAGTCGTTCAAAGGTCTGAAAGTCTGAGAGAGGAAAATATTCTGGCGGCATGGTTCAACTTCGTCTAGATTACCTTCCGCTCTTCGCATAAGGCGTCGCAGCCGACTAGCACGGCGAAGGCTGCGAGGAGAAAAGACCATTGCACGTTTGCGAGGAATGAGAGCGGCAAGGATAAGGTGACCGTCTCGGATATCCACGAACCCTCAGATTACTCGCTCTCACCCAGGGTCAGAAGCAGCAATGTGCGGCCAACGGCGGAGAGTCCGGGCAGAAAGATTTTGCGAAGATCCGACTGGGAAAGACTGTGGTCTCGATGTACGACTGCCGGGTGCTTAGGCACCGAATAGATCGGTTAGTGGAAGTCCACTTGATGAGGTAGATTTTACGGAAGTACCCCTCGGTTCTCTAATTTATTATCGACCACCCCGCCCCGTGATTCTTCAAATCTGAATAAATGCGTAGCTCCGGCTGTGCCAGTAACGAATGTTTCTTACCCGATAGAAACGATCAAACGCATCAGAGGAAGCATCAGTCGGATGAATATCGGCTCTGACTTCCTAAGGTAAGTCCAACCGTAAGACGTGTAGTTGCCATCTTAGTGATTGTTAGTATTAAGGGTCGTGGCAAAAGTATTACACTCCGGAACGTGCTCCGTCTAAAGACAAAAATGGGAGCTTTTTGTGTGCGCAGCCTTTGTCTTCAGCTCATGCGAAACTCAGCTGGTCAACTCAAGTCCGGGCATTCCGTATTGAGTCCGAAAAGTCTTGAGGATAGCAATGGGGGAAGCCGTCGGGACGCGTTCCCGAGCGGCGCCTGAACTTTCACTTACGACCAACTAAGAGCGGTTCTGTCCGAGATGAGATTATTATTGAAGCTCTTCTGAAGCTCATGGAGCACTGTTTTCCGGACACT